TGATTCAAATAACTCATACATATACATAAATTCTTAAATGTAAGATTCATTTAGACGCAACATCCCGCCCCCCGTGATTCGAAGCAGGGGTCGGAGGATCACCACAAACATCGAGGACTGCCAACTTGGATGCTGGTCTGCGAAAATTTCCTTGCGCCGTTTTAACCAAAGCTGAACGCACCTGCCCATCTGCCGCGCTGAAGACCTCTATTACTCGTCCGCGCTTCCACTGCCCTCTGCCCTCATTGTCGTCACAAATAATTACCACATCGCCAATGCATATCGGTCTCACCCTCTCAAACCATTTCGTCCGACGAGTCAAAGTTGGTAAATATTCTTAGACCCACCTTTTCCAAAACGTCTGCTTGAGTTGCTGCAAAATATGCCACTGCTTCTTTAGGCACCCCTTTTCTGCCACAGCTGGTGTCTGCAAAAAATTAGGGCAACCCAGCAAAAAATGGTTCGGAGTCAGAGGATCTGCCTCAGCACTTTCAATAGGTACGTGTGTCGTGAATTAATTAAATTCTCCGCTTCGATCAACATACTCTGCAACGTTTCTATCTGCGGTGCCTTTTCTTTCAAGGTGAAAAATAACACCTTCTTAACTGCCTGTACCATGCGCTCCCATGCGCCACCTGCCGATGGATTCAACGGTGTGTTAAACACCCATTCTATATTGCGGCGAAGACATTCTCGCTCTAAGTTCTGTTCAATAAGTAGCCATTGCTCTTAGCTCGCAGCGACAAAGTTCGTACCTCTGTCGCTTCTTATTCGCACCGAAACGCCCCGTCGATTGACGAAATTCCTCAGACAAAGTATAACTGCATCAGTAGACAGATCTCTCGCCAGCTCCAAATGAATCGCCCTTACAGTCAAGCAAGTAAATACCGCTACCCATCGCTTTTCCCGACGTCGTCCAATCGATACCCAAACTGGTCCAAAATAATCCAAACCCGTATACGTGAATGGTCGAATGTATGGTGTGACACGGTCCACTGGCAACTG